ATGGATGTTAGGGTCTGACAGGGCACTAATCACAATATAGAAGGAAATATTAGAGTTTTGCTTGTTTCTTCCAGGTACAAAACATAACCGTGTGTTCCCTGGAATGCACAGGAATGTGACGACTGGGGGCAGGGTTAGGGCTAGTGCTAGTGTTAGGAGTGGAGCAATGTTAGGGTTTGATTCTTTTATTTTTAATCTAGTTTACTTTAAAACATCAAATAAAATGTTGGGTTTGTTTAATTTTTAACCTCGGCTTTCTGGATTTAACACAAACCACGATGTTTTAAATTTTTTTTTACCCTCAAGTTCAACCCACTATGCTGGACTTGGAGTGTTTAACCCAAGTCAAAGTAATGATGTTCAAAGGAGTTATTTCCATAAAGCAATTAAAAGCCTGCTTTGTAGCTCGCTCCTGGGGACACATCGTGGGAATGCCTGGAAAGGGTGTTTACAAAGGGAAACGCTGGGCTATGTCTACACTGAAAGAATTCATCCATCACCCTAGCTGTGTCTCCAGCTGGGGTTAGCTCGACCTGACAACAGTGCTCGGGGTGTGAAATTTTTCACAGCCCTGAGCAATGTAGGTAAGTGGATGTAATTTTTAAGGGTAGACCAGGCTCCAGTCTTCTACAATATGAATTTAACAAAATATTTCCATGAAACTTCAACAATTAGGTATAACTATTAATTCTTACATTATTTGTGAAAATAATGGATATATTTCTGCTTTGTTTTGAAGGAAAAATTGTTTATTTTAAAAATTGCTCATTTCTTGCAAGCTCCCTCTGGTGACCAAATTTGGACATTCCAGGCAAAAAATATATTTAAAACTTGCAGATTTTGAATTTTTTTTTTAAATAAAACTAAGTGTAAAAACTTCACAACTCCATACAAAAATTCAGGGTGGGGGGGGGGTCTAGTACTTAAAAATAATGCAAACTATTTCTATCACAACCACAGTCTAATCAAAATGTACTTTCAAATGCAAATAAATACTTGCAGGTAATTTCTGCTACTGCTTCATCGGTTCTGCCTAAGAGAGGGTTCCTTCTAAGGCCATGTCTATACGTACAGTGCTGCAGCGGCACATCTGTACCAGTACAGCTGAGGCACTGTAGCGCGTCTGGTGACGGGAGAGAGCTCTTCCATTGGCATAATAAAACCACCTCGGTGAGCAGCATAAGCCATGTCCGCGGGAGAAACTCTCCTGCCCACATAGCGCTGTGCACATGTGCCGGTGTAACTTATGTTGCTCAGAGGGGTGGAATATTCACACCCCTGAGCAACAGAAGTTTTGCCAACATAGGCTGCAGTGTAGACATGGCCTCATACACACATGTGATTAGCATAACTAGCCACTAGATGTCACTGGGGCTCCCAGAATCTCTTTGAGTTTGCAGTTCTCCATTGGATACACAACCCATTTCTATGGGGAATCAGGAGCATGATTCAGAGCCAGTCCAGGGCTCCAGCAGGTTTGAAAATAATCATATCGAATCATAACTCTAGAGCGACTTCCATTCCAGGATCTCGGAGCGGCTTACAAACACGGGGGAACTAACACCACCTCATCCGCCAGTGAGCACCGGCCCACAGAGAGCGTGACCCACAGCGGAGTGGGCCAGTGACACAGCAAAGCCAGGGCTTGATCACAGCTCTGGCTCCCAGTCCCCTGCTTTAACCAGTAGGCCATGCTCCTTGTGAGTGCAGGGGAGCTCAGATACCTGAAAGGACACTCACTGGTACTAGGGTTGCCAGGATTGGCCTGGAGTCTCCAGGAATTAAAGATTAATATTTCATGTCATGTGATGAAACCTCCAGGAATACGTTCAACCAAAACTGGCAACCCTAACTGGTACCTTTCTGTCTAAAATGGTCTCCGTGCTGAGCAGCAGCCTGGTCGCTGGGAGCAGGAGTGGGCTGTGCACGGGGGTCCGTGGAATAGACTGTGCAATGCTGCCCTCTCGTTCCCCAGGGCCTGCAGCCCCCTCTCCTCCTCCTCCCTTCCTCTTGCCTGTGCTATCTGGATAAGGCGTGTGTCCAGCCCAGCACAGGAGGAGATGGTGATAAAGCTCCTGTTTGCTGACCCAGCATTAAGCAGTTAGGAGCACCCTCTGTTTGCTGGGCCTTTGTGTTGGGATTAACTGTCCTGCCCAGAGATGGGCTGGAGCTGCTGCTGTTGCCTTGTCAGTGCCCGATCCTATTTCCTCTAAGACGAAACAAGCCCAGCATGCCCAGAGGGAGGAAGACCAGAGGGAAAGCGGCTTGTTGGGTCCCTGGTGCTGGCTCTCGCTGGCAGCTGCGCTGAACCACCTGCCCAGCACTTGCTCTGATCAGCCCCCTCGAGCCCTGCAAGCTGCACTCACTGCCCGGCTGGTTACAGCGTTGCCATGGCTGCCTCTCTGCTCACAGCGCTGGGACAAGGGGGAGCCGTCCTGGGGAGGAAGCCAGACTCCCCTTAGAGGCGAAAGGAGAGACGAACGGAGGAGAAATAAGGTGGGGGAGAAAAACGAGCCATGAGAGTGGGGGGACAGCAGGGACCTGGACTCTCAGCCCAGGGGCTGCAGAGGGCTCAGCTGGAGCTGCTGGAGGTGGGGAGGTCAGCAGTAGAAGATCTCTCAGGACCAAGGCAATCAAGTCCTGCTGTCGCCATGGTGGGTCCCCTGGGAAGCTGGGGGTGGCAGCAGCCAGGCTGGTGAAGCTTCCTTCTTCCCACCCTCTGCCGCCCGGCTTTTCAGTGACCCTCAGATAAACGCTGGCCTGAGGGGGTGGCAGCCTCCTGCCATTGACACTCCCCAGTCATAGCACGTGCCGGCCAGTCCAAGAACCACCTGCCAGCTCTCCAGTCGGCCAGCCAGTGTGTCACCACGCCAACTGTGACACCTGCCCAGCCTTGGAGCCCCCTTAGCAGCATCCACTGAGAACCCGTCCCCATGGCGGCACTCCGGAGAACTCAGGGAGTCGGCTCACAGCGCGAAATCAGCACACGGCAACGAGAGACCCTGACCCCATGGGAATGTTCTCACTCCTCCCGCTCCTTCCCCCCAGCACCTCCCACCCACCACTCCTCCTACCCCCACCCAGCACCTCCCCCTGCTCCTCCCCCCAGCACCTCCCATCCCCTCTCCTCCCATCCCGCCCAGCACCTCCCCACCCCCGTTCCTCCTCGCCCCTTCCAGCACCTCCCCACCCCACGTTCCTCCCACCCCTTCCACACCTCCCCACTCCTAACCCCAGCACCTCCCTACTCATCCCACCAGCACTTCCCACCCCCACTCATCACTCCTTCTAGCACTTTCCCTCCCCCTACTCTGCCCCCAGCGCTTCCCCACCCCCCACTCTTCTCCATATCTCCACTCCTCTCCTCCCAGCACTTCACCATGCCCCCACTCGTCCCCAGCCCCCACTCCTCCCTGCCCCATCTAGCACTGATGCTCAGGACCACTAGCATTGTAAATGTATTAAACAGGTCCAAAAATTCTAATGCCAGCCAATGACAAGCCAGCACTACTCAGAGGCCACGGCCAGCCCTAACCTCTGACACCAGCTTAGAAAGGCCACCCGGACCTTGCTTTGGCCCATGTTTACCCTGCCCCAGTCACCAGTCACCTCTCCTGCCTCCTGGATTGATGGGGATTTCTTCCCCTCCCTCCTCATGGGTAACAACGCTGAGGCGTGTTCCTGCGTCTGGCCATGCAGGGTTATTGGAGCAGGGGCTGCTGGTGCAACGGGAGCATCCTCCATCCTACCCTGTTTCCATTCACTTTAGGGGCTGGAGCTATCAGTTGTGGTTGTGCCCAAGGTGCATCGTGCGTTGTTGTGTGTGTTCTTGTGTATTATTCTTTGATTGGTTCTGAGTTGTGGCAAGGTTGGGAAAAGGCCCTTAAAAAATTCTAATTTTGATGAGGTGACGGCAAAACACCCTCACTTCAGTGCCCAACGCCCAGGCCTCCCCAGGCCGTTTGCTCTCCTGAACAGAAGACTGGGTTTGATTAAGGAAGGCAAAGCCGTACTGAGCACGTGCAGAGCATGGTGGGCTGCGACGGCTGCACCTTTCCCGACAGCTGAAGGGGGACCAGGCAAGATCCTAGCTCGCCGAGTTGTTCTTACGATGCGTGGCCATTGGATCCCATACTCACTGCAAACCCCTGGGCACACCGACTTTCATGCCCCATAATGCACTGAGGCCTTCACAGCCTGGGGAGATGGCAATGTGACCCGGGAGCTGCTCTCTGGTTTCTCTGACGTCAGGGGCCTGTAGTAGGTTCAGGTCTGAGGGGGCAGGTTAGGGTTTGGAGCACAGTCCCTAGGGGCAGGTTAAGAGGGGATGTTGGGCACAGTCCCTAGGGGCAGGATAGGGTGGGTTTGTGCCACCACCCTTAAGGGGCAGGTTGGGGGGCTTGGGGCACAGTTCTGAGGGGCACCATGGGGGGGTTGGGTCACATTCCCTGGGGCAGGCTAGGACTGACAGAGGGATTAGGGTGACCAGAGAGCAAGTATGAAAATGGGGGGAGGGTAATGGAGGGGCAATAGGTCCCTGTATTAGACAAAGCCCCTTAGGGACACAGGACTGGAGGGGAGGGGTCATGGAGTCCAGCCCCCATCTGCGCTGTGGAGCCGTTCATAACTCTGGCAGTGTGGGACCCGCTCTGCTTTCTCAGGGTACCACCAGGCGGCAGGGGGTGCCGCAGGGAGGGAGGGACAACGCACTAAGAGGGCGGGGCGTTCCAGGGAGGGGGCGGGGCTACGCACTAAGGGGGCGGGGGGGGCCGGGGGGGGGGGCGTCCCAATGGGCGGCGGGGGCGGGGCTCCCGCTATTTAAACCGGCTCCGGCCGGCGCGCGCGGCACTCTCCCACACCATGGCGAGCTCTGCCCGGCCCCTGGCGCTCCGCGCCGCCTGCAGCCTGCGCGCTCCCCGCTGCCTCCGCTCCACGGCCGCCGCCGCGCGCCAGGAGCAGCCGGGGGACCCGACCCGGCCGCCGCCGCCTCCTCACCCCGAGCGGGGCTCGGCGCGCGGCGGGACCGGCCCGCGGGGGACGCGCCGGGTGCAGCCGCCGCCGCCCGCTGTGGACTTCGGGGACCCGCGGGAGGCGTTTCGCAGCAAGAGCAGCGCGGAGCTGGTGCGGGCGCTGGTGGTGCTGCGGCTCTGCGCGCTGGAGCCGTTGGTGGCGCGGAGCCGGCAGGTGAGCGGAGCCCGGGCCCCGTGGGCGGGGGGTTCGGAGCAGGCTCGCCGGGGCTCGGCTGCTGCCCCGCGGGGCGGAGCTGGGGGGGCTTTGGGAGCCGCCTGGGGTCCGGGCCCCTCGGGGCTGCGCCTGTGGGCGCGCGTGTCCCGGCGTGGGAGTTGGGGTGAGGAGCTCGGCGTCAGGGCAAGGCACAAAGCCGCAGTGACCCCCCGGGTCAGCCGGGGACCCCCTCGAGCCTGCGCGTAACTGATGCCTTCTGGCCTCCCGCCCTGGCCCTGGCTGTCTCTGGGGTACAGGGTCTGGGGTCGGGTGCTGATAGCATCCTGTCTTTAGTATGATTGTCACGTGTCTCACTGCCGCGGGTGGGCCAGTGCCTGGCATATGGGCTGGAGACCTGGGCCAGTCCTGGTGCTGCTAGGGAACGGGTCTGTGCCCTCCCTCGTGTCCCTCCTCTGTACAAGTGGGGATCATGATTTGGACCCTGTGACTGGCAGAGCAGGGTGGTGTCCCTACCGCTAAGGCCAGAGCTCTGGTGTGACCAGCCCTGGCTGGAGCCTGAGGGCAGACTAATCCATGGCCCTGCGGCTATTGGTGCGTCTGGGTCTTAGGTTTCCCCAGCACTATTTCCTCCACTGAAAGCTAATGCCCGGGTGTGGCGGGGCAAGGAGGTGCCTGCGCCGAAGAAAGCGGTGTCTTACACTGGCTTTGTGTCTTGTAGCTGATGAACCTCAGCAGGAAGCTGCTGGGGCAGCAGCTGTTTGAGAAGCTGATGAAGATGACCTTCTATGGGCAGTTTGTGGCTGGCGAGGACCAAGAGGCCATCAAACCCCTGATCCAACGAAACCGTGCGTGTGGGGTGGGCTCGATGCTGGACTACAGCGTGGAGGAGGATCTGACACCAGAGGAGGCGGAGCGTAAGGAAATGGAGTAAGCATTTGAGTGCTTCTAACTGCTAGTTTGCAGACTGCAGGCAATTAGAAGCAAAGCTTTGGGCAACCTGTGCTGATGGATATAAACAGGGCCGGTGCAAGGAAGTTTTGCGCCCTAGGCAAAACTTCCACCTTGCGCCACGGCAGCTCCCCACCCCAGCTCACCTCTGCTCCGCCTCCTCCCCGAGCATGCCGCCCCTCTACTAATTCGCCGCCCCTCCCAAACAGCTGATTGGCGCTGCAAGCCTGGGAGGTGGGAGAAGTGGAGCGGCCGCTGCGCTGGGAGAGGGAGTCTGAGCCGCACGTGTCAGCGTGCCGCTGGCAGCCCAGCCCAGGAACGCTGTAAAAAAAAAAAATTGGGGGCACCGCTTTTTGGCGCCCCTGAATCTTGGCGCTCTAGGCAACCGCCTAGTTTGCCTTAATGGTAGCACCGGCCCTGGATATAAATACACAACACGGCTAGTATGGCAGATCTCCTAAAGCCTGAGATCAGAACTGGGACCACCTTTGGGGAGCTTTTGTGGTTCATGAGGGGAGCAAGAAAATAGAGCTTGGCTCTTCAAACCTCCTGATGTAGAAAGGTATGCCAGGGAGTGCTGAGAGAGGGGGCAGAGCTAGTGTGTGGGGTGAGATGAACTAGGCAGCAGGTTGTGCTCCAGTAGTGGGTGTTACCTAAGGGGGGGACCATCCAGTGAGGATTTTCCCTTTTTTACCCGCCTCTGTTATCCCGGGGGTGCTGCTGGCCCAGGAGAAGGAACTATCTGATAGTGTGAGTTAAGCTCCTTTTTTCAGGCCTTGTTGCTCAGACAGCCTCGTTATAAAAGGGAATGGCTGGAGCTTGGTGTCCATGCTGCGCTTTCCCAGGGAAGCACACCCCATAACAAATGTGATGTCCCAGTCTTGATTTGGCTGCTTCTGTTCGGTCTTCTGGTCCCTTGGCTTTGATGGTCTCTGTTGATGGTCTCTGTTCCTTTGTTCTACCTCAAACTTATCTTAACCTTTAGATTTGAGCTGGTGACCTGGGAAACCGGTTCAGGCTGTTACACGTTCACCGCAGCCATTTCAAATCGTTCGCTCATTCACACTGTAGTTTGCCCTGTATGGACGTGCTGACCTTGTCTTGCTGTTCTGGTCATGTTCTCCTCAGACTAGCCCATCTGTGAAAAGAGAACGTACAGTTCAGATTTCTAGCTTCCCTGGTGCGAACACCACTCTGCTTTGGCACCAAAAAGCCACCCACCCACCCCTGCCTCCAAAAGATTGTGTAGTTGGGGTGCCACTGAGCATTTTCCTTCTGGGACGTCATCCCACCTGCATGCCCTTTCCCAGAGACGGAGAGGTGGAGCGAAGAATTTACTTGTTCCTTTCCCTGTGTGGAGAAACGGCCTCTTTTCCAAGGACCCAATTTGAGATGCCTTCAAAGGGTCTGATTTTTAAGAAGTGCTGAACAGCCACCCTCTGAAAATTGGGTCCCTAAGCTGTCTCGGGTTGGATCCCCAAAATCACTGGTCATTTGGAAATTCAGGCCCAGCGCATGTTATGCCCAGTTGTTATGCAGACAAAACTACACTGGATCGATTCAGGGGGCAAGACAAAGATGCCACATTTATTATAACACAAGTTGACTTGTGACCAATAACTAATACCTAATACCTCTACACACACACACATCCATCAGATGTTCTGCAGCTGCTGTATAATTACCAGTCCTGAACATAGCTTGAGTCCGTGGCTTGAGTTTGCAGCTTGGGTTCGTAGCTTGTGGCGGCTACCTGGCCAGGAAAGCCGGGCAGAAGGAAGGGCTGGGTCTCTGTTGGGCATGCACCGATGCCCTTCCATGTCCATACCTCATTCACACATCGAACCTAAACTAATAAGATTACAGTCGGGTTTACAAAAATGAAGGTTGCAGCAAGCTTTTACAAAATGGAGTAAGCGTTTTAAAATGGGGTTTGGATTACAATATGGCAAACCGTGAACAGACGTTACAATGTAGGCAAGTGTAATGAATGATGAACAGAAGTTACAATACTGAAACAGTGCAAGTCTGTGATTTAAGCAGGAATTGGATTGACAGTGAAACTTACAAGGGCAACTGGCTGAACAGCTATGGCTCTTAACAAGCATCTTATTGGCCAATTAGCCAGTTATTGGGGTAACCAGTTTCATGAATGAATGTTGTTTCATTCATATAACTTTACTTATGAAGTTACATTAATAAAGTGAACAATTAAAAACAACTTCATTCATCAGTTCTACACAGTCCAGGACCTGTGTGACCCAGCGCGCTGATCTGTACATCTGCTGTGGGATCAGAGCTGCGTTTGGCCAAGCCAGGTTGTCTCTGGCCTGTGGTGCTGAATGGCACCTGCACTAATACAGCATGTGCTCTGAACCAGTGTGCACAGGGTCTATGTCCTCCCCTCATGCAGGTGGGCTCAGGGCTGCTGAATCCTCAAGCCTGGCCTGGGACAGTTTGCTGTGACCTCGGTAGTGGGCGAGGACTAGATTACCGTGGAGCACCTGGTGCAGTTGAAGGGAAATTGTCCTCTCTGCCTCCGCCTGCAAGTGCCTTGGACAGAATGTACCCTTTCAGACTTGCCAAGGGCTTGCCCTTCTTCCTGGTAATGCAGTTGGCCAATAGGGCCCATCCCCTTCCATTTGATTGGCTGTCACTGAGGCAGAGCCTTTAGGTAAGCACTGGAGCTGCCAAGTTCTGTGCTTGAGTCCCCCCTGCAGGCAGATCTAGCCTTGGAGCTGCTGCTGGGATCCCTCCCCATCCTCTGAGGTGTACTCGAGTTCTGCCCCAAAAGGACCATTTCTTGCAAGACTTGTGTCCCTAGATTCCTCCCCTGGTAGGTGCTCAGTCTGCGACTGTTCAGAACAGTGTTTATGCGGGGCTGGGACGGTCGGGAGGGCCTGAGAGTCCTGTTTTCTCTGCAGGGGTGAGCTGCAGACCTGCTTTGCCAGACAGGAAGCTGTTGAGGCACCCACAGAAATCCTTGTGGAAGCTGCCCAAAGACCCAAAAGCAGCTCCGAGCGCACTGTACTCGCTCACCCCCCTTCATCTTCAGGAGCAGGATTTACCCTGATAAATGGATGCAGCTGGTCCACAGTTCAGTCTCCTGCTGAGCTTCTTGTAGGTGTTTGCTAGAGGTGCTGCTCTGACACCTCCCCACGGGATGGGTGGGGAGGGCACTTTGGGGACACCTTGTCCACCGCCTGGTGGACTCCAAACAACTGCCACAGAGCCTGGTCCTGGGCAGCTTCACACATCTGGCCTGCTGGGAACTCGTGCATTAGCTCCCTCCCTTCCACCCCACGTTACTCAGGAAAACTGGTTCCTCTCCCTCCAGGGTCCGGTGTATGTGGCTGAAGGGGGGAAGAGGAGGGGAGGGTGAGCCTTGGTCAGGGGAGAAGGATTTCAATCCACTGCATGTCTGCTGCCCCCAGTCTGTTCTGGCCCCATATGGAGAGTGCAGGGTTGGCATGTACTGGCTGTGAGATGGTGGACATGGCTCAGCTCACTGGCAGCGTTAGAAGTAGCCCTACCCGGCATTCACAGACTTGGTACAAAAGTGGCTGTGGAGGAACGTCTAACAAGCGGTTTGTGCTTTTCCCCAATTAGACATGCGTCCGGTCTTGGCTCTGCCTGTGCAGAGCTGTGATGTGTCCTGGCAACGGATTGTGCTAAGGAGATGCAATAAGTAACTGCACGGTGTCACTAACATGGGCCTGTAAGTCGCCATGCCCACCTGCCAGTGTCCTTGCACGTGGTGTCGGAGTTACTGACAGGAGGTTGGATTTGACTCATCCTTGTAGCAGTTCTCTTGCTGTTTCCAGCAGGTTATTTTGCAAACAGCTTGTCGTCGGTCTTACGCAAGGGTGCAGGCGTTGCTGTCACTGGATTCAAATAGTCTCCCCATACTGCACTCTGCTCTTGGATTGTTGCCTGCTCCTTTGTAATGAATTGTCATGTCTCTGATCCAGGTATCAGTGCAGTAGCGGGTTCATGGAGTATTTTTCACACATGTACTGTTCGACATAAGCTCTCTGCTGTCAGCATAGAGCGGCTACACGAGCAACATTACAGCGCTAGAGCTGTACTGCTGTAAACTCGCTAGTGTAGGCATGGCCTGAGTAACTGCCCAGCAGTGTTCATTAACTTCCTGGCATCTGTTTCTTCTCAGTGAAAGTTGTTAGTAATGGAGCATTAATCCGATGTAATGTTTCCCTGGAGACTTGCCAACTAACTCTCTGAGATCAAACTTGACCTCAGTAGAAGCTACTCCAGACAAATGGTGTTACACCAAGCCCATCCTGAAGGTTTGTCTACACTACAGGTTACGTCCGTATAACTTGTCGCTTGGGTATGAATAAGCCCCCCCCCCCCCCCCCCCCCCCCCGTAAGCAACATAAGTTACACCTACCTAAGTGCCAGTGTGGACTGTGCTATGTCATCGGGTGAGGTCTCACAGAGGTGGATTTATTATGCCAATGGTGTTACCTGCACACTCTAGGGCACCCGCCTTTACCTAGTTCCCAGGGATCAAGGTGTACTCTTCTGTGGGTTTGCAGGACCTTTCTATCAGTGAAATATCCTTAACCTCCCTCTGTTAACAATCACAGAGCAGAATACATGTGCTAAGAACACAATGCTGTCCTCACCAGTCCTGATCGTGCAGGCAGACTTTACTTGTTGGCCAGGCAAGATCAGTCTCACCTGAGTTCTTGTTGCATGTCAGGGTCGTGCATAGGATTCTAGCAGCTCTGCTCTGGGCTGTGTCTTGGAGGTGAGTTCTTCTTTCAGGTCTTTCCTTTTCCTTCTTTTGCCCAGACAGTCTCCTTCTTGGAACCCAGTTTATATAGTGAAACTGGAGTCCTGCTTAGCTATACCTTAACCCAGGGGCCTGAGAAGGAGCCAGAATTTACCCATGTACATTGCCAAAGAGCCACAGTAATACGTCAGCAGCACATCATCAGAGCCCCCCCCACACACATTCCCAGCAGCTCCTGCCCACCGGCAGCCCCGCCAATCAGCATCTCCCCCTCCCTCCCCGCACCTCCCGTTTTGTGGTGTGCAGGAGGCTCTGGGGGAGGAGCGAGGATATGGCAGGCTCAGGAGAGGGGGCGGGAAGGGGTGGAGTGGGGGCAGGGCCTATGGCAGAGCCGGGGTTTAGCAGTGAGCACCCCCCGGCACATTGGAAAGTTGGCGCCTGTAGCGCCAGCCCCGGAGTCGGTGCCTACACAAGGAGCCGCATATTAACTTCTGAAGAACCACATGTGGCTCCAGAGCCACAGGTTGGCCACCCCTGCCTTAACCAATCATTTTACTAAAATGTTACGCAGTTCTTTGTTTTGCAATATGTTAGGATTGGACAATTCTTTGCCTAGTCATACCCCACCACCTTAGTTCATTTAAATCTTGCAAAATTAGTTATGCAACAAAGAACCAGACAAACAAGGAAGCAGGGACCATAGACTCACCCCCCCCCCTTGAGAACCACACAGCAATGCCAATGGCTGCCCATTATCCAGCTAGCTAGGAAGCTCCAGCTGCTCCTCTTGGTGGGAACCTAGTAACACTCCAAGACTGGATGATTGTAACTAGGAACATCAGTCCAGGCCACTTTAACTGTAGCCTGCGTGGTTCACGGCAGCCCCAAGGCACGTGGCACCAGAATGCCACCCCTTCCCACTCCAGGTTCAGGTCACTGGCTTGGTCCTAATCTTTAAAGCCCCTGCTGGGCTGGGGCCAGGCCTCCAGAACACCTGGTTCTCTCTGTGACTCCAGAGACCACCGCCCTCATCGTGCCACAAACTCCAAAGCCAGCATGCTGCTCTTGACCACCCTGGAAGATCCTCCGATCCAGGCCCAGGCTGTGGGGCACTGTGCCCAAGGAGATGGAAATACACTTTAGCTTTGCCTCCTTCAGAGCTGGGCTGTAGGAATTCACAAATGGGGAAGGAATTGAAACACTGCAGCTGAGCCCTGGGAGATGAGGTGCTGGTGTCAGGTGTGTAATTCCTCCAAACCCTGCTGGACCTCCGGGCTAGTCTTGTCTTGTGTGCGCACGGAGCTGGCTGTTCTGGCGCAGGGGGTGTTGGCGTCGCAGTAGGCTGCTTTGCACTCTATTCAAGGGGATGTCTTTTCTCTCCTGGCAAGGTTTATTCCCTTGTTGCTCCATCCCATAAGCTGTTGTGGGCAAATATTTAAGCAAGTCTGGGTTATCTGCTGTGATGTCTTTGCTGGCTGGGATTAACATTCCAAAAAGCAGGCTGTTCCCGGGAGCTTGTCTGTTTGTTCAGCTGGGAAAAGGATTTTCTTCTTTTTGGCTCTATTAAAAGGCAAACCCCGTTCTATCAATGCACCATTCTGACTAATACTTTAAACCCCAGGCCAGGAACCGAAAAGCCGCAGTATTATAATGCTAAAGGAATGTTGACCAGGTGGGCATGTCGATACATGAGCACACGCTCTCCCATGTTAACAAACCAACCGTGAACTTCTTGCTGCTGGTCCGGTTTGCGTTTCACTCAGCCTGGCCGGGCCCGTTTCGCTGCCTGCTACTCAGCCTCTAGCTGCACAGTTGCTCTTGGAGATCCCAAGAGCCGGGCTACACAGGGTCCAGATTTGAAAGCACATACGGTTAAGCCAGCGCAGCCCCTTAGTGTGGGCACAGTGAAGCCTGTGTAAAAGGTGCAGAAATTGACGGCCCTGGCATGTCCCTTCCCCAGCCGTACTTGTAGGAGGATTCTGCCTTGCTGTATTACATGTCCCTTGCTCCCAGCTCTGTGGCTGCTCTCTCCAGGCAGTACCTCTGTCTGTTAAATGCTGCCTCTTGACTTTTCTCTTTCAGCTTTCCCTTGGGGGGGGGGAGGCGAGGCTGGTATTTGCAGCTCTCCTGGCTTGTTTGAATTGCCGGTGCTTCCTCCACTCACTGCCACAATCAGATTAATGCGCCCCTTGAACTGGTCCGTGGGTGCCTAATGCAGAGGCAGGTGGGGTATTGCCTGTACTGCTCTTGGTCTTAGTGCCATTGGCCGTAGCAGAGAGAATGCAGAGCGCTGAGTTCAGCAAGGGGGCCCCATGCTGCTGCCCTTGCTGCAATTGGACAGCTTTGTAGCTCGTTCATATGGAATTTCATTCTGCTTCTAAACCAACCAGAACCCACTGCTGACCCCAGGGCCCCACCAGTCCTTCTCTCAGCTTCATGCTAGGCCTAGCCACTTGTTCGCATGCTAATCTACGGGGCCTCTGGCTAAGAGGAGAGACTCAAATCGACAAGAGGGAGTTTTGCATGAGGGTGGTCCCTCTCGCTGTCCCTATCAAAATCTCGCCAAAGGGTTCCTTCCAGCCTTGCTGACGGCTTGTGAAAGATCATTTGCTGCATATGCTGGGACTTGCACTTTTTTTAGAAAAACCTAGTAAACTAAATACAAAAAACTACATTAAAATTAGGGCTGTCAAGAGATTAAAAAATAATCATGATAAATGGCACTGTTAAACAATAATAGAATACCATTTATTTAAATGTTTTTGGATGTTTTCTACATTTTCAAATATATTGATTTCAATTATAACACAGAATACAAAGTGTACACTGCTTGCTTATTTATTTTTATTACAAATATTTGCACTGTAAACAACAAAAGAAAATAGTATATTTAATTCACCTAATACAAGTACGGTAGTGCAATCTCTTTATAATGAAAGTTGAACTTACAAATGTAGAATTATGTACAAAAAATAACTGTTTCATTTTTGAATGCAATGTAAAACTTTAGAACTTACAAGTCCACTCAGTCCTACTTCTTGTTCAGCCAATTGCTCAGACAAACAAGTTTGTTTACTATCAGAGGGGTAGCCGTGTTAGTCTGGATCTGTAAAAAGCAAGAGAGAGTCCTGTGGCACCTTTAAGACTAACAGATGTATTGGAGCATAAGCTTTCATGAGTGAATACCGACTTCGTCAGACGCATGACACATGCATCTGACGAAGTGGGTATTCACCCACGAAAGCTTATGCTCCAATACATCTGTTAATCTTAAAGGTGCCACAGGACTCTGTTAAATTTGTTTACATTTATGGGAGATAATGCTGCCCTCTTCTTGCGTACAATGTCACCTGAAAGTGAGAACAGGCGTTCACATGGCATTGTTGTAACTGGTGTCGCAAGATATTTACGTGGCAGATGTGCTAAAGATTCATATCCTTTCATGCTTCCACCACCATTCCAGAGGACGTGCGTCCATGCTGATGATGGGTTCTGCTCGACAACGATCCAAAGCAGAGCAGACCGATGCATGTTCATTTTCATCATCTGAGTCAGATGCCACCAGCAGAAGGTTGATTTTATTTTTATTTTTTTTGGTGGTTCGGATTCTGTAGTTTCCACATCGGAGTGTTGCTCTTTTAAGACTCCCGGCAGCATGCTTCACACCTCATCCATCTCAGATTTTGGACGGCACTTCAGATTCTTAAACCTTGGGTTGAGTGCTGTAGCTATCCTTAGAAATCTCACATTGGTACCTTCTTTGTGTTCTTAAATCAAACATGTGATGGGTCATGATCATCCGAGACTGCTATAACATGAAATATATGGCAGAATGCGGGTAAAACAGAGCAGGAAGACATACAATTCTCCCACAAGGAGTTCAGTCACAAATTTAATTAACGCATTATTTTTTTAACGAGCATCATCAGCATGGAAGCATATCTTCTGGAATGGTGGCTGAAGCATAAAGGGGCATATGAATGTTTAGCATATCTGGCACATAAATACCTTGCAACGCCGGCTACAAAAGTGCCATGCAAATGCCTGTTCTCACTTTCAGGTGACATTGTAAACAAGAAGCAGGCAGCAGTATCTCTCGTCAGTGTAAACAGACTGGTTTGTCTGAGCGATTGGCATTGAAAATAATCCAGAAGAGAAGCAGAAGCAGGAGGAAGAACTAGGGCAGGGTCAGTGCTTGGGAAAAGAACAACCACCTGCTCTGAAGCAGGCCTGGAGAAAGAGGGGAGATGGATGCAGTGAGGGGGCTGAGGCCTCAGCTCTCCGTAGAGGGGATGTGCTGGCCCAGTGCAAAGCTTAGGGGTAAGCAGCCCAGGGCGGTACAGGCTGGTGCTGTTTGGTATAAAGACCCTGTTGAAGGGAGATGGGGGCTCATCTATGCGATGGCAGCCCTCAGAAGTGACTGCCACCTATCAGTGTGACACTGGTCACAAAAGTCGGGGCATTTGCCCCAGGGTCCAGCTGAACTAGAGTGTGGACGTTCTGGTTCCCCTGCAGTTTCATGAGGGGAATTTGCTCTCCCCACCTATGGCAGTTTCTCCACCCCAGAGCTGGCTGCCTCATGGGGTGGGGTAGGAATCTTAGCTAACGTTTTCCAAGGCACTGAAGGTCCCACTGATTTTCGTGTGGCAGGGGGAGGTGGTTGCACATGACTGACTCTGATGGGCTTAGGCCCGAAGGAGGCTTTGGAAAATATCCCCTTCCCCGTCAGCGAAGTGCTCTGGGCCCAGAGGCGCTCGAGAGAAGCGCTTCTATGAATAGCTATTGCCGGAGTGAAGAACAGGAAGGATGAGGGGCTTGTGGGGATCTGGGCCCTTGGGTACGGGGAGCTGCCCCCTGTAAAGCCAAGAGAGCTGGTTGTGAGGGGGTGGACTGTAGTCCCGGGGGGCTCCTGGACTGCCCTGGTGCCTGTCTCACCATCTGCTTCCTCCCTCTAGCTCCTGTACCTCTGCATCTGAGAAGGAGACGGGGGGTGAGTGACACAACCGCTCCTAACACGTCCTAGTTGGACACTGGGCTAGAGTCTCAATGGATCAGACCATCCCCTCCCCAGCATGCTCCAGGGCTCTGGCCCTCACGCCCTGGTTGTGCAGAAAGGCCTGGGGCTCGTGTGGCCAATGGGTGGAAAGTACCTTGATCTGTTCGTAATCTGAAAACCCAGGCACAGGCTGTGTTTAAACTGCTTTGGGGGGGCCTCGGCTCACGGGGGGCTCACATTGCTACAGAGCTGAGATCCCGGAGATCGGGAAGCTGCTGAGTTCTCACATAAGTGTTAAGGCTGGAACATCTCATCTGCTCTTGTGCATGGCACAGGCCAGAGAATCCCACCCCGTGAGTCCTGCATCCAGCCCATTGGCTTGTGGCCGAGGTAGAGCAGATCTTCTAGAAGGACCTCGATCCAATGAGCCCTGGGACTTTTTCCTAGGGCGTGAGAAATCCCCCCAGAGGCTTGGGCAGGGCTTGAGCTGATGGGAATGGTGAGAGTAAGGGGGCTTGTTCCAGGGACATGTGGGCTCTTGGGCATCTCCTCCTCTGCTGTGTCTGCAGCACGCTCCCCCTACCTGTCCCCAGGTGCCGCCCAGAGAGAGAAGCAGTACCTTGCGCATCGGGGGTTCGGGGACCGCCGGGACAGGGTCATCAGTGCCCGCACCTACTTCTACGCAGACGAAACCAAGTGTGACCAGCACATGGACATGTTCCTGCGCTGTATCGAAGCCTCAGGTAGGTGCCCTGCATATGCCACCACCAGAGTGCCCTGTGTCGGCTGTGCCCGACTGTCCCTCTGGGAGCATCTGGCCCTGTGCCCCTCCCCCAACAGGCTGCATTGCCACCCATGGGCCGTGGCTCTCCGGGTGCCCTCCTGCTGCAATGCAGAGGCCAGGTGCTGCTGCAGTCTCTGGAGGGTACCCAGCCGGGACGAAGGGCAGATCTGCCAGCTCACATGGGCTTTCTGAATTCCTCCCCCCTCTCTGGATTGCCCTGGGCCGCTTTCCTTTACCTGCCCTGGAGTTACGGATGCTGCAGCCACCTCCGCTCTCTCTGCCTTTGTTTAGGTGGCAGCTCCGAGGACAGCTTTTCGGCCATTAAGCTGACAGCTTTAGGAAGGCCTCAGTTCCTGGTGAGTGAGCGACGCTTGGTGCCAGGACCCCCGCGTGATAGCAGAGGGAGAGGCCGGGAGGAGGGGTGCTCAGGCTGAGACAGGCTCCGGGAGTTACTTGGAGACTCTTCGAGGTGGCAGGAGCTGCAGAGGCGGCAGCTCTGGTGTGTAAAAGGACGGAGGCCCCAACGCTAGATGAGGGCAGCACCCCACCGCTTGGGCTCAGTGCAGCGAGCTGGGTGCCAGGCAGGATGGTCCCTCCCATCGGGTCCAGGCCAGGCACATGCTTATGGATTGTGTCTGTCAGCCATGCTCAGTAGACTCCCTGGGGAGGCCAGTGTCCTGGTCAGGGCAGCAGCTTGGGCCTTAGTCCATCCCTGGAGAGTCAGAGCTCCTCTCTGATGTCTGGCCCAGGCCTCACCTGATGTAGAAGGGCTTGAGCTTGCCTCTTGCTTTGAGGATGGAGAGCTGGCTAAATGCCAGGTTATCTCACTGGGGACCCCCTGCCTAGGGTCAGGTTTAGGGGCCTTGATCTTTACTAGGAGGCTAGTGGGAGGTGCCAGCAGTGTCCGGTTGGGAGCCCAGCAGGGCCAGGCCTGCTCACTTGGCGTGGCAGAGTGCCCAGCTGGGTGGATAGCACCCCTAGGAACAGTCACGGGGGATGGGGGGAGCTCTGAGCCATCCCTGCTGGGGAGAGGAGCAGGGAGCTCACCCTGCGATCTGCTCCCCCAGCTGCAGTTCTCGGAGGTGCTGATGAAGTGGAGGAAGTTCTTTCACCAGATGGCTGCAGAGCAGGGCAAGGCGGGGCTGGCTGCGATGGAGACCAAGCTGGAGGTGAAAAAGCTGCAGGTGAGCTAGGCGCAGTGCTCCCAAAGGAGCTGTCCTCCCCAACTCTGCCCCATGGGCATCTGTGCTGCTCGTGCCCTGGATGCATCACCCTCCTGCAGGACTGTGCCCCCACATTTCTCAGGGGGTTGGGAAATGCTCTGGGGCCTTGGATCAAAGCACTGGGGAGGGCTCTGAGTTACTCCAGAGAATTCTTTCTCAGGTGTCTGGCTGGTGGGTCTCGCCCCCATGCTCAGGGTCTAACTGATCGCCATATCTGGGCTCAAAGGAATTTTCCCCGAGGTCAGATTGGCAGAGACCCTGGGTTTTTTTGCCTTCCCTTGCAGCGTGAGGCACGGGTCACCTGCCGGCTTGAACTTGTGTAAATGCTGGATTCTTTGTAACTTGAAGTCTTTAGACCATGATGTGAGGACTTCAGTCACTCAACCAGCAGGGAGGGGTCTATTACAGGAGTGGTGGGGGAGGTTCTGTGGCCTGCGATGTGCAGGACCTCAGACTAGATGTTCAGGATGGTCCCTTCTGGCCTTAAAGTGTAAGTCTGGAAGGAGCACTGTTCTGGTTCCATGCCCAGTGACCGAAAGAGCCAGTAAAATCCGTGCCCTGTCGCTCCCTAGCCAAGTCGGCTCATTTCTGTGCATTTCCCCCAGTCTTTCCCCTGGGCTGGAATCCCCATCCCCCTTCACAGGTCCCAGTGCACCATAAGTCTCCTGAGATCCATTGTTGCCCCTTCCAGGCAGAGCAATGGAAGGAGCCCCCTTGTGCTGGTACCGGTGAGGTCTGTCCCAGTTGCTGATGCGTGTACCTGCATAGCTCCTGCACTAGCCCTCTTGCAGCCATGAGGCTCGCGCTCCCTTCTCTCCTGAGAGCTGCTCAGCACTAGGGGAGATCCCTCTGGGAAGCGCTGAGTGGCTGTTTGGTGCCTTTGACCCCATGGGGGCTGTGTGGTGTGCAGGAGCTGGCACAGTCCCACCCCACCCATCGCCTCCGAGCAGGGTCACGGCTCAGGGTAGAGTCCGGGCAAAGGCAGCAGTTTGGGGACAGCAGGCAGCAGCAGGGACTCTGACCTGCTCCTTTCTCCTTGCAGGAGACCCTGGCGAACCTTGGGATTGCGACCAAAGCGGAGAGCCAGCACTGGTTCACGGGCGAGGACCTGGGCGTGTCTGGGTGAGCTCCCTCCTGGGCCACAGCCAGCCTGACCCTCTGGCCTTCCCGGAATGTGCTGCCGAGTGGGGAGGGGTGGGCGTGCCACAGAAAGGAGCACGTGGAGGGGTCCCAAAGGCTTCCATTTCAGCCAGTGTGTGCGCTGCCAGAGAGGGGAGCTTCCCGAATCCTAGAGCAATGGCTCTGGGCAGGGGTCCTGGGAGAGGTTGCCTTTCTCAGAGGCCGGGGAGCTGCACTGGGAAGGGGTAAGAAGCGGTGGTGGCCATGTTTGTTGTGGGCATTTTGAGGGGCGTGTTACTTCTCCGAGCGGTAGCTGGCTCGGGTGGAAGGGTTTGCCTGGGTACGTGGCCAGAGTTGCCATGCGGATCCTGCTGCTCTGCCAGGCTCCTGGTGACCAAGGACCTATGCCCAGGGAGCTCTGCTGAAATCCCCCCAAGCTGGGCCATGACGGGCAGCACTGGGCTCTGGGTCACTAATCCAGCCTGACTACTGAGGGAGCTGCCGGTGCACCCCTTGGGGAGGCCGGCTGGGTTCGGGGCCAGTCTGCAGCTTGCTTGGAGCTGGCGCTAATGCGAGTCTTTCTGGCTGCAGCACTGTGGACTTGCTGGACTGGAACAGCCTGATTGATAGCCGAACAAAGCTCTCCAAACTGCTGCTCATCCCAAACATGAAGGTGGGTGAGCGGCACTATTTTGGCCCAGGGAGAGGCCCCAAGGGAACCCTCCTGAGCAGTAGAGCTCCTCCCAGGTAATGGCATGGGACACTGCAGCTGGAGAGCTCCCATGGTACAGTGCTGGACTGGGAAGGGGGCACCATGCATCTGGCCTTCCGATGTCTTAGCCAGTCCGTTCTAAAACTCCCAAGTATCCGGGATCAGCCAGTCACATGGGAGGCGCTTCCTGTCGGGCACTTCATCCTGATACTCGTCTGATCCCTTGATTGCATCCCATTGCTTCTACTTACACCATGCACCATACAAAATTCTCTCACCTTGGGGTCCTCACCCTTCAGCCCCGGGTTACCCTCTCTTTCTGCACCATCACAAAGGGGTTGGGAGGGCTAAGAGTTTGTCCTTGTTGCATCCCTCCATGCACTGGGCTGCAAGGACCTGCATTCCTGACCTCCCCTGGGTGGGCAGTGTCACTAGCACTAGCTGGGGAAATGCAGAATCCAGAGGGCCTGAGCTCAGGTCTTGGCAGGTAAGAGAAGTCAGACCTCTTGTTAATGCGTCATTGCAAGTTTGGAGTGTGCTGACTGAATGTGGAAGAGGAGCCACTGGGTGGGACAAACTGAACTTGATAGAACTGAGACATTCAGGGAATTGTTGCCTGATCTATTGATTAGGTCAATTTGTTTTCCCCCGTTACCACGCTAGAATTTGGTAGGTTCTTGACCCAGGATCAGGCCTGGTATTATCAGAGCTCCTGATTTGGGAGCCACAGGACGCAGGATTGCAACAGTCACACTTCAGCTGTCACACTGTTTCTAGTTTTATTAATACAGTTCAGAGCCACAAACACTAACCCTGTGAGGCAGCTAGAGCTAATACAGATGGAGCTGAGCATCCCTAGACTCTCGCCATCCTTTGAAAAACAGCCTCGGGTATTAGTTATCTTCCCCCACACCATCCTCAAGAGCCACACCTCTCAAGCCACGCAAGCTGGGATACAACTTGTGTTATACCGACACCACTAGGCCTAGTGCATATTCAGGGGGGGTTTCAGCCCCTTTTCCTTCTTTACAGTTCCTCCCCCTACTAATGGGGTGCCCTTCTCCCATGGGCCTTTACCTCAAGCTTATTAGCATAGATGTCAGATAGATCCCATGACATTCTTGGGGTCAGACATCTGCTGATGTCCCTGACTAAAAATATCCCAGGCTGGTATCAACTAGTATGTCATGGTTGCAGCAGTTTAGTCCCTACCGCACTCTGCCTTGTGCTGTCTTATGATCTAGGGTAACTCCCGGTTAGCTACTCCTGTTAAGGCTTTTTAGGCCTTGGGCCTTGATTAGTTTAGCTAAGCTACTGTCTTAGTTATTGAGGCTTGTAAGCTCATTGCATTATTAACTTATACCTATGCCTCACCTAGCAAGAACCTTCACCTATAGGCTACAACGGAGCCATTAGAGGTGAGGGGAGATGAACACAACCCTGTTTTGTGGTGGAGTAGCTGAATTAAGGTTGTCTGCAAATGAAAGGGCCACAGACCTAGGACATGGAGGTGGGGCGCCCACAGCCAGGAGCCATCTGGGAGCCACTCTGCTTGCCTGTTACGGACACTCGGAGTGCTAGTTGAGGTGTCTATGGCTAAGCCAAGACTTGAATTTGGGGCCAGACAGAAGTGAAGGAAGAGCCCTACAGCAGCAGACATGGATGTAGGCGTCTTCTGCATTGAAGCGATGCTCAGATGGCGATCGGGAGCTGGTAGTGGCAGGGAGGGGTGACTGGGTGAGGCACCTGTCAATACTCCGTGCCAGTGTGGGTGATGGTAGAATGTTGCTAGCTGCCACACGGGTAGGAGTAAAGCCGGTGGCAGGGTCCTTGGCTCCAGAGGGTAGTAACAGGATGAAATGGCCTTGGTTGATGCCAGGCTGGGCTCTGAGGACAGAACTTGAACAGGATGGAGGAGATGGTTGGTCAGATGTACGTGGCAATGTGTGCAGATGCCCTCCCAGGCTAAGCAGAGCCCTGTGTGGGAACAGGTCTGGGGGGGGGAGGGGTGGCTAGAATCCATCTACCCTGGATGGAGCAAGGGCTCTAGGGTCCTCTCTGAGGCCCCAAAGGTCAGTCCTGGGGCTGGTTTTGTTCAATATATTCATTAATGATCTGGAGGATGGCGTGGACTGCACCCTCAGCAAGTTTGCAGATGACACTAAATGGGGAGGAGTGGTAGATACGCTGGAGGGTAGAGATAGGATATAGAGGGACCTAGACAAATTAGAGGATTGGGCCAAAGGAAATCTGATTAAGTTCAACAAGGACAAGTGCAGAGTCCTGCTCTTAGGACGGAAGAATCCCATGCACTGCTACAGACTAGGGACCGAGTGACTAGGCAGCAGTTCTGCAGAAAAGGACCTGGGGTTACAGTGGACGAGAAGCTGGATATGAGTTGACAGTGTGCCCTCGTTGCCAAGAAGGCTTAACAGCATTTTGGGCTGTATAAATTGGGGCATTGCCAGCAGATTGAGGGACGTGATCATTCCCCTCTATTTGACATTGGTGAGGCCTCATCTGGAGTACTGTCCAGTTTTGGGTCCCACACTACAAGAAGGATGTGGAAAAATTGGAAAGAGTCCAGGGGAGGGCAACAAAAATGATTAGGGGGCTGGAGTACATGACTTATGAGGAGAGGCTGAGGGAACTGGGATTGTTTAGTCTGCAGAAGAGAAGAATGAGGGGGGATTTGATAGCTGCTTTCAACTACCTGAAGCGGGGTTCCAAAGAGGATGGATCTAGACTGTTCTCAGTGGTGGCAGAACAAGGAGTAATGGTCTCAAGTTGCAGTGGGGGAGGTCTAGGTTGGATATTAGGAAACACTATTTCACTAGGAGGGTGGTGAAGCACGGGAATGGGTTACCTAGGGAGGTGGTGGAATCTCCTTCCTTAGAGGTTTTTAAGGCCCGGCTTGACAAAGCCCTGGCTGGGATGATTTAGTTGGGGACTGGTCCTCCTTTGAGCAGGGGGTTGGACTAGATACCTCCTGAGGTCCCTTCCAACCCTGAGATTCTAGGATTCGATGATTGCTGCCTCTTGGGGCTCCAGCAGCTCAGAGCTGTAGCAGCGCTGCACTCATGTCCCCGCTAGAGCAAGGGAGCTGGGCCCTGCGGGTGTCAGCAGCCGAGCTGGGCTCTAATCTGCTCTTCCCAGACGAGAAGGTGGGGCGGGGAGACAGGGCTGAGGCGGATGCTCAGGCTTCACCTCTGCACAGCCCAGTGCTGCCGGCCTGGCCTGAGCAGAGAAATGGGTTGGACGCGCACCAGGCTGTCTCGGCCAGGCCTGCCAGTGGAGCCGTTCCCCTGGCATGGAACCAGGGCAGGTTCGGGGCTAGGGGCGCAAGGGTTCTCCTCTCTCAAACAGCTTCTTGTGGGGCTCCATCCTGCTTCCCAGGCCCTGCCCTGTACCAGCTTCCACAGCCCCGCTGAGCCAGCAGCTGCCATGACCCCAAGCACCTCACCCTCTACACCCTTTCTGTAACATCTGGGGACCACCAGCTCTGGCTCCGGCTCCCAGTCGAAGGTGGCAGGTGCACAGGGTTGGTGAATGGGGCTGGGTGGCTGCCCCTTAGAGTCTGGAGCATGCTGGTCCTCCTAGGAACCTGATCCCAGCTGGGCCCCCTCCCACTGCACTTGGATGCACCCAGTTAAGCACACGATACTTGTCCCACGTGCCTGCACCCAACGTGTGTCAATGGGGAGGGAGTGGATAGCTGCATGGGCTCTTTGGGTTGGCGCTTGTCCTGATGCCTTGTGCCATGTCCTGCTCTGCACCTGGGTGAGGGAGGGAAGGCTTATGGTCTGTAATGCCCAGGCTGTGGCCACGGGGGGGATAGCACTGAGGTGCTTCTCCTTTCAGACCGGCCAGTTGGAGCCTCTGCTCTCGCACTTCACCGAAGAGGAGGACCTGCAGATGAAGCGAATGCTGCAGAGGATGGACGTCCTGGCCACGGTTAGGAGCTGCCCTGCCTGTACCATCATAGGGGTCTTGGTGGGAAGTTCTCCCAGCCAGGGAGGGGTAGAGTGGGCCCTGACCCCACGGTGAGGGAGATGGACCTGCTCACCCATACCCCAGCATGGCCTCGGTGCCAGAAGTGTTTGGGCTGCTCTCAGCGGCCCTAGGGTCGCAGGGCTCTTCTAGCAGGTGTTCCCTGGACGCATTGGCCTGCATGTGAGAGAGTGGTGCCATCTGCAGGACCTGTGTAGTACTACACACAGCAGTGGGTTCGGGGTTGGCCCTGCAGACTCCACCTGGGCAGAACCTGTTCACTGCTTGTGGCCTGACCTGAGGAGTGTCCTTCCCCTTGCAGAGAGCCCTGGAGCTGGGAGTGAGGCTGATGGTGGACGCTGAGCAGACCTACTTCCAGCCAGCCATCAGCCGGCTCACCCTGGAGATGCAGCGCAAGTTCAACATGGAGGAGGCTGTCGTATTTAACACCTTCCAGTGCTACCTGAAGGTGAGGGTCTGGCCGGTGCCAGCTGCGGGCAGGGGAGCTAGAGCCAACGGTGTGTGGGGTGCAACCTGCCTGCCTGAAGGGCCCCAGATGCAGTGGTGGCAGCGCGCCAAGCAGTGGTGGCAGGTAGTGGGGTGGAGATGGGTCATGCTGTAGGAGGAGGCGGTGCTCCAGTGGCAGCTCAGTCTCGAGGCAGAACTCCAGGAGCAGGCGTGGAGCCTTGCTCCCCTTTTTCCCCCGGACAGCACGTGTCAGTGCAAGGAGTGACTGCTCCTGGCTGTGGATGGCACCGCTCCGCCTTTCCGCTGCAGGAGGCGTACGACAATGTGACGATGGATGTGGAGCTCTCTCGCCGCGAGGGCTGGCACTTCGGGGCCAAGCTGGTCAGAGGCGCGTATATGGAGCAAGAGCAGGCCCGAGCTGCCCAAGTCGGCTACGAGGATCCCCTCAACCCTACGTACGAAGAGACCAACGAGATGTACCAGAGGTAGGAATGCCAGAGCTGGGACGCCAGGGTGAGGAGGTGGTGCCCTGGGCACATCCCTGTACCCACATGTGATCTGTCCTGCAGGTGCCTGGACTACGTTCTTGAGGAGATCAAGTACAGCCAGAAAATCAAAGTGATGGTGGCATCGCACAACGAGGACACGGTGACGTTCACCATTCGCAGGTAGGAGCAGTGGGTGCCAGGCCTCAAATAGCGGTGGGAGGTGGTGTTACCAGATTTGTCCATTACTTTGGGGTATGCTTATTTATTCGGGTTACTCTGCTGGGGAAGGGGATTTTGTAATCCTATCCATGTACTGCTTGTGTCACTTGTGTTTTCATATGGAGCGCTACTTCTCCCTTCTGCAAGTCCCCTCCCAATGGAGCTATCCTGCAGGACCTAGGTTCCCTAGGGCTGGGTTACTCCAGCCCCAGAACCGGATGAACACCCACACACACACATACATTAACAGAGCAAGTCTGAGCGAACCGGGTCAATCAGCACTGTCAAGCTGACCCCTTATATGTCTCTGGACTCACTGGGCTGGATGAAGCAGCACTTTCAAGCTGTCTCTCCTTATATGCCCCTGGGCTCCATGGACTGGGTCAAGCAGCACTTTCAAGCTGTTACCCTTATGCGTCCCAGATTCAGCATGTCCCTTTCCCCACTCCCCCAACACAATTGTACTGGCAGTAACCTACTTGATGAGCAAACCCCACAGTATTTTGGGCGCTGCCGGGATCTTTAGCTTAGGTAAAAGAAGCGTTGCTGTAGAGTAAATGGGGGAAGCTAAAACACAAACGAGTAAAGTTCAGCAAGAGAGAGAGAAGTAACTAACTTAACCATAAAAGTTATTTATTGAATAAGTGATAACTACACAAGGAGAGCTAAATCAACATAACATACATGATTAAAGGCTAATACCTAAGGTAGACAGGAAAATGAAGAGAGAGAGAAAGAGAAGGAGGCCTCACCGCTCCGTGAAGCTTGAACTGGTCGGGGTTCCCAGATGATGGTGGTAGCTGAGGGTCCTGAGGGCAAGAGGCAGGCAGAGTCCCCAGCACGATCAGTGAGGAGACGATGGAGTTCCAGTGGAACTGATGCCTAGTTTGGATCTAAGCATCAGAACCCTGACTAGAGGGTGAGGTGGGATTTTTGTAGAGAAAATACAATGGTTCAAGGGAGAACACTAGATTTGTTTATAGGTAAACTGATGACTCAAGGGTTTTCTTTAGGCTAGACCATAGGAGCTGATCACTCTTGGCTATGGGTGGTGTTTTCTTCCAGGGAGCTCACAATGCAACTAGGCTGCTTCAGTATTTGGATATTAATTAAGGATTTATTACTAGAATTGGTCTGATAATTGCTGAGCTGGGTGTGTGCAGACATAGGTTCATTAGCATCTGGAGCAGAGATTCCCATGATGCAGTGCTTCCCTGCTTTTTTTGGTCCCAGAATTTAGTTTGGTTTTCTGTTCTCCATTCTGTATGTAAATTGAAATGCTTTAATCTTGTCACCCTTGTCGGGAGGGGTCTAGGTTTGTCTCCCAATGCCCTTCACTGCTCTCTGCAAGTTTTTTCCTCTGGGTTTTTCTTTAAGCAGAGGCTGGGGGGGGGGTGTCTTATGAGTCAGGCTGGATACTGCACCCTGGTTCCCCAAGAACACAGAGGTGTCTGGTATCAGTGGGGCTGCAGCAGAGCAGCTGTGTGGGAGCCTAGGATGGGGATAGCAGGGGCTGCTATTGCAAGAAGGCATTGAGGGGTGGCAGCAGAAGTGTGGGGGTAACGTTTGCACAGCATCTGACAGCACTTGGAACAGTGGCTGGCCAGAGCTAGGGAAATGTGAATGGCTAGGCAGCAGTTCTGCAGAAAAGGACCTAGGAGTTACAGTGGATGAGAAGCTGGCTATGAGTTGACCATGTGCCCTTGCTGCCAAGAAGGCTAACGGCATTTGGGGCTGTATAAGTAGGGGCATTGCCAGCAGATGGAGGGACGTGATCATTCCCCTCTATTCCGCATTGGTGAGGCCTCATCTGGAGTACTGTGTCCAGTTTTGGGCCCCACACTACAAGAAGGATGTGGAAAAATTGAAGAGAGTCCAGGGGAGGGCAACAAAAATGATTAGGGGGCTGGAGCACATGACTTATGAGAAGAGGCTGAGGGAGCTGGGATTCTTTAGTCTGCAGAAGAGAAGAATGAGGGGGGATTTGATAGCTGCTTTCAACTACCTGAAAGGGGGTTCCAAAGAGGATGGATCTAGACTCATCTCAGTGGTAGCAGATGACAGAACAGTGAGTAATGGTCTCAAGTTGCAGTGGGGGAGATTTGGGTTGGATATTAGGAAAAACTTTCACTAGAAGGGTGGTGAAGCACTGGAATGGGTTACCTAGGGAGGTGGTGGAATCTCCTTCCTTAGAGGTTTTTAAGGCCTGGCTTGACAAAGCCCTGGCTGGGATGATTTAGTTGGGGATTGGTCCTGCTTTGAGCAGGGGGTTGGACTAGATGACCTCCTGAGGTCCCTTCCAATCCTGATATTCTATGATTCTAAAGGGGCTGGAAGGGAGGGGGCCTGTGCATGAAATGGAATTGAATTCATTTACCTCCTTGTGCAGTTAGGAGAAATTGAATCGGGGCCCTGGGATGTCTGGCAAACAGGAGATCAGACCCTGGCAGAAGCAGCTTTCAGGAAAGGACTTTGCTTGCTCTGCAGTGACCTTTCTGGCCTGTGGATGTAAATCTGTTAGCTCAGACCGGTGATGAATGCCAGACTCCTGGGTTTTTGTATCAGTGGGAGTATGAAAGTCAGTGACTGCAGATGTTGCACAGCGGCCGGACGAAGATGTGCTGGGGCTGTAAACTGTTCCATGCAGCACTGTGTGCTGGGCAGATGCGTGGGTGAGGGCATGCAGCGGTTCCAGGGAAGAGCTGTGCCAGGCACTCTGAGGGGATGGGCACTAGGTACCCAACTCTGCCATGCTTCTCTTGCAGTCTGCTCCTTTTTTACCCTTGGGGAAGTTTGTTAATCCAGGACTGTGGGTAATAGACCTCTGGAAAAGGAGCAGGATTCCCTGACCCAGAGGCTGCTTCACTGTCCCTCCAGCTCACTCTGTCCTTCTAGTGTAGCATTTCCTTTCTTTATTGTTCTATGGAGCTAGGTCTAGCTCCTAGAGCTGGAAGGGACCTTGAAAGGTCATTGAGGCCAGTCTCCTGCCTTCACAGCAGGACCAAGTACTGTCCCTGACAGATTTTTGTCCCAGATCCCTAAATGGCCCCCTCAAGGATTGAACTCACAACCCTGGGTTTAGCAGGCCACTGAGCTATCCCTCTCCCCTTCCTGCTGGGCATCTCCTGATGTGACTCTGTGGTGCTTCCATTACAGAATGGCAGAGCTTGGCATTCATCCCTCTGAGAAAAAGGTGTACTTCGGGCAGCTGCTGGGCATGTGTGACCAGATCACCTTCCCTCTGGGTAAGTGGTGTGTTCCTCTGGGCGCCCAAGAGGGGGAAGGGCTGGGGTTTGCTGTGCTGTTTTCAGTCAGTGAGTAGAGAGCTATCTGACTGATATTTTTTTTAAAAGGCCTTGAACAAGATCTCTCATGCGTGATTACTAAAGAGACGAGTCATGAGGTAGGAGGCTAGGTGTTATCATGGATCAGAAACTGGCTGAGAGGAAAAACAGGAGGAATACGTCGCTTTTGTCATGGCAGAAAGTTAAGAGCAGGTGCCAGAAGGCTGCGCGTGCGGGGCAGGGTTTAATGGTCTGGGAAAGGGGCCAAGCAGTGAAGTGATGCAATTTGCAGAGGCTGTAACTTAGGTTAGTCAAGTCCAACGTGGGCATGGCAGAGCTTCCGAGGGGCCTGGCTAGGCCAGGAAAGAGGGCAGCTCAGTGCTGAGTAATGCAGGAGAGGACACAATAGCTTGTGCACCTTGCCACGTTGTAACGAACTGTGTGAACTCAGGACGGGCCAGTGTGTGTGGCCAGCTCACTGAAGATCTGCTCAATGCATGGCTGTGGTCAAGTCCAACCAGATGTTAAGGTGCATAAGAAACAGGACGGAGAATATAGTCGTAAGTTCATTATACAAATCCGTGGTTGGCGCACATCTGGATCCTGTGTACTGTACCTTTCTCACCCGATCTCAAAGGATATTGCACCGTTAGAGGGGCACAGAGCCAAGTGACAATGACCAGAGGCAGGAAAGCTTTGGATGAAGAGATGGAAAAGACGGGCACTGGTCTCCTTTGAAAGGAGATACATACATAAGGGATAGGATAGAAGTGTATAAAATGACTGATCTAGAGAAGGGAGATTGTGTGCTTGTCCTCTGTCTTAGCACCAGAGCAAGGAACATCCAATGACATTGGAAGGTGACAAATTCAAAGAATAGGAAAAAAGTGTTTTCATTCTAGGTGTAACGAGACTGTGGAACTCACTGCCACAGTGTATTAAGGCACATTCAAAGGCTATTGGACACTTCTATGGGTAACAAATAGCCAGAGGAGTTGAATTAAATTTAAAAAGCTCAAGAAAAGACATCAACCCTCCTGCTCCTGGGCTGGAGCTCACTAACTACTGGAGGTCAGGAGGGGACTCCCCTGGGGCAGGAGACTATCCCATCACTACCTATTGTGAGGTGTCTTACACCTTGACCTGAAGCAGGATACTGGCCTAGTGGGCCATAGCGCTGACCCAGTCTGGCAATACCTGGGTCCACACTGGCCTGGCTTCAGGAGCTCTGATGCACCTTCATGGTGGAACTGCTGGCTGCTCTTAATCACTAAAGCTTGTGGGACAATTGGAAGAGCTGATCAAGTGGTTTCTTCCCCCCTTGGCCTGTGTAAGTAGCCACGGCATCAAATCCCATCCTCTGCAGCAGTCTCCCCGCATGCTCTGCTGACACAGGCACGTTCGCACTCGCCAGCATTCCTCTGCTATGCCTACAGGGAAGAGGAGGAAACAGACCTGATGCCGTGGCTACTGTGGCACTAAATCTACATGGGAATGTCGTGCACGTGGAGTTGTGGTGTGGTCTGCCTGTGGCACTGTGCAGAGCTGCCCAGCGCTGCTCCACCCTTGCTTTAGTCCCTCGTAGGACAGCGCTGCTCTAGCTGCCTGGGCTGGCGCAGATGAGGAGCGCCGAGGCCCTCGGTAACGGTTCACGTGCCTGTCACTAACGCAGCGGCGGTGCTGGGCTGTTACTCTTCACCCCGCTGGAGCCGCAGCAGTTTCCTTGGCAAGCTGAGGGTGGCTTGGCCCCTCCAGTCTCCTTCAACCAAGTCACTGGCCTGCTGGCGCTGGCTGGCAAAGACCAAGTTTGTCATAACTTGGGTGTTACCTGCCTCTCAGGACTACTGCGGAATGTTTCAGACATGTTCTCTCTGGCTCATCTTCCTCCGCTCTGCTTCATGGGAGAGTCACTTAGGTTCAGACTGGAGTCTGAACCTTTCTCTCGAGTCCCTTTGGTACCTTCAGAGCATTTCCAGAATTGTCCCTCCGTCCTGTAGCACCTTGGGGCGGCTCTCGCTCCTCCCTGCATCCCGTCTTGTGGTCTCTGCAGATTTCTACATGAAGCATGAAAGGGTTCAACGCGCTGCAGTCAGACTGTAGTGAACGTGGTGAGGTGTAACAAAGGAATGAGAAGAAATGGCGTTAGCAGATCATGTAGGGTGGCTCTTTCCTGTTGGGCTGCCTCGAGGCCAGGGTGCAAATTCCTTTGCTTGGGACGTTAAAACAAGAGTGCTCTCTGCAGTGAGTAACTTTCCAGAGGCCGCGAAGGTGATCTAGCTCAGGGGTGGGCAAACTTTTTGGCCCGAGGGCCACATTGGAGTTGTATGGAGGGCCAGGTAGGGAAGGCTGTGCTTCCCCAAACAGCCTGGCCCCCGCCTCGTATCTGACCCCTCCCACTTCCCACCCCCTGACTGCCCCCCTCAGAACCCCTGACCCATCCAACCCCCCTGCTACTTGTCCCCTAACTGCCCCCCCTGGGATCCCACCCCCTATCCACACCCCTGCCCTGGACAGGCCCCCCAAGACCCCATGCCTATCCAACCCCCCAGTCCCCTTACCCCCTCCCCCGCAGAACCACTGCCCCCTGCCCCCTGACTGGCCCCTGGGACCCTCCGCCCCTTATCCAACCCCCCAGCCTACTTACCATGCCACTCAGAGCAGCATGTCTGGCAGCCGCGCTGCCTGGCAGGAACTTGACACGCTGCGGCTCTGCTTGGCAGGAGCACGCAACCCCGCTGCCCAGAGCGCGGCCCGCGTGGCTGCGGGGGGGGGAACAGCAGGGGAGAGGGCCGGGGGCCGGGCAGAACGGTCCTGTGGGCTGGATGTGGCCAGCGGGCCGTAGTTTGCCCACCTCTGGTCTAGCTGCACTAGGAGCATTTCCCAGGTGCAATTCCAAAGTCTTGCTCTGGGAGGCCAGATTCTGAGCTGGTGTGAACTGGTGTCTCAGCAGTCAATGGAGTGGGGTTGATTTGCACTAGCAGAGATTCATGCCCACTGTATCCTGTAAGTTACCTTGATTTCTCTCCTCAGGGCAAGCAGGTTATCCAGTCTACAAATACGTTCCCTACGGCCCTGTGAACGAAGTGCTGCCGTACCTGTCCAGAAGGGCCCTGGAAAACAGGGGCTTCATGAAGAGAGCCAAACGCGAGAGGGACCTCCTCTGGAGTGAGTTCAAGAGAAGACTGATCACTGGCAGCCTCTTCTGTAATCCAAGCCACTAACCTGCCCTGCCTTGGGCTGGGATATGCTGCAGCAAATGTCCCAGACAGGCAGACCTAGCGGCTTTTTAATAGAACTGCTGCTGTCTTTCTCCAACTACCCTTTCCCACCAATCTCAGTCCTCCCCGCAGAGGCCTTCTCCCGTGGCGAAGACCTTCTCTAGTGCATTAATATCTGACCTGCACCAGTGACCCTCCAGTAAACATCTCCGCAGCGGGCCCACGTCACTGTCCCTGCTGTGGGATGGTTCAGGAGCAGCCGTTTCCTTAAGGACGTCCTTACGCCCGTGCAATTAAATGTTGTCCTAGGACACCGTTGCCTCTCTGGGATTTAATACGACTGCAGAATGGCCCCCAGTTAAAGGCAGGGCTTTGTGGGAGAGCAGCGACAGGGTAAAACAGTGGGACTCTCAATCGTGTCACTGCAAGCTATAGCCAGCGGCTTGTGACTCTGTCCATCTTCCTGGTGCTGGCAAGATCCTGTTGCTGGCTCCTAGGAGGATGGATGGCATGCCCCAGGGGTCAGAGGTTAAGTCATCAGAAAGCAGTTGTAGCTTGGTTCCCTCCCGAGGGTGGGGTGAGGATGGTGAGAGCTGGGTGTTCACAATGTAGGGGGGAGGTTCCATCCAGGCAGCTCTGTGGCCTGCATGTTGCTAGGGGTTACTTACGTGTTGAATTGTGTCCTCACCAGGGGGAGTGTCCCTGGTTTACAGATCAGGAAACTGAGGCACACAATGGTTAAGTGACTGGTCTGAGGTCACACAGGAAGGAAGTCTAGTAGAGCCAAGACTGGTTCTCAGGCTAGTGCCTTTATCATCACCACCACCACCACCCCTTCCTCCCTAGGCTGGGCCAGCCTAGCTGTCCAAGGTGGGTTGGGAATTAAGCTGAGGGTGGACTTTGCTCTGTGAGGGGTATGAGAGGGGTTGTAGATTCTTTATTGAAGAGCTTGCGCTGGATTTCCCTCTGCTAGCTGGGCTGTTCCCAGGCTGTGCAGGGCCTTCAAGGGATGGAACTCCAGTACATGACACTTCCAAAGCACCCCCTGCCCTCACCAGCCAAAGCCTGTAACCTGGTCACTAGAGGCCAGGGCCTGCCTAGCTGATGGATTGTATGTAGGGTGGAAGGGGATTGGTGAGAACCAGTAGCAGAGCATGCCAGTGGGGTAATGCCTCTCCAAGCTGCTGCTCAACCTAGCTGTGAACAGAGTCTGGGGGGCAGCGCGGCTGGTCTCTGTGCACAGACTGCACCCAGCCAGCCTGTGCCAGCGCTTCCCTTGTCCTGCAGCCGAAGGAGGAAGGGTGGGGTGCTGACTGCAGCACAAGGGGAAGCACCTGTGCCTGGGAATGAGGTAAATTGGCGGGGGGTGGTTCAGGGAGGGGAGGGGGAAATGTGCTGCTGTTAGAACTGTGGTTTTTATATGTGGCCCAGCTGTCTGCAGTGCTGGGTTGTCTTGGACCCCCTGGGTTTGAAAAAAGAACTGAGATTGTATTAAACCTACCACCGTACCTAGACTAGCGTCGATGCTGTTTGTTAGGCCGGTGAGCCTGGGCTGCAGGGGAGAAGGACCTGCCTCTCAGCACGCTCAGGGCTGGCTTAGAGTAGTCCTGGCTGGGGCTCGCACGGTCCATTAACTGAGTGTTGAGTACCTCTTAGCAATCTGCTCTGAGCCTTCGCCCTCGGCCCCCAAGGGAGTAGCACAGAGGGCAGGCACTAAAATGCAGGCTGCTTTTGGAGGAGAGGGGAAAATTGGGGGTCCAGGGTCCTGTGCAACTGAAAGGGGGGTGGGGGGAAGGGCACTAAGTATTCAAAGGGCTGTCCTGCATCCTCTGGAAGAACTAGCACAGAGCAACCTTTACAATGACTTGGTCCCCACTGGGCCATTGCCACTGCTGGCACCTGCTCCCGGGGCATAAAACAAATCCCACAATTGCAGAAGGGGCGTCCCGCCGTCCCTGCTGCAGGCCGGGGGTCTAAGGCGGACCTGTGAACCCATAGAGGTATCTGCCTCCCGCTTGCAGTTCTCCCCCTTGTAAATCAACTAGCTGAAATGCTGCCAAGCAGCGTATGAACCAAAGCAATGTGGAAACAGTTTCCTGGCTAATAAAGCTTCCCCTGCATGAGAGGGAGGAGGCTAACGCAGCTTGCTTTCATTAAAAGCCCCAGAATGTGCACAGCTGCCTTTGGCGGGGCATAAGGGATGGGAGAAAGCGGCCGTGGCCCTTAGTCCTCATTCTTGAGTCTCCTGCGAAAGGTGTTCGGAGGATTAGCCCTGCTGCAGCCCCTAGGAATGCTACCCTCAGTCCTTCCCCCTCTGGGGTTACCTGAGGCTCTAGGGGCGGTGGGTATCATAGACATGGGGCGGCTGTACCTCCCCAAACAGCCAGGCGTGGCCCTGCCCATGCTCTGCCCCAGACCCCTTCCTGCTCTGCAGCTCCTACTGTGTGGTGGCCCTAGCTCAGGCTTGGGCCATGCCTTCTGGGGCTGGGGAGGCTGTAGCCGTGCTACCCACCCTCCCGGGGCTGTGGGCATTAGCCTGGGGTGGGGGCCCGTGGTCACGGTGTGGGGCTGTGGGCTCTGGTGTGGAAGGGGTGGGGCTGGGGGCTAGCCTCCCTCCAGCCGGTGATTCTCTCCCTGCCCATGACAGACTTCTTGCTCCTAACGCATCTCCTGCTCCTCCTCCCCTTGGCACACAAGTCTTCAAGCAAAGTCCCTGGAAGAAGGCTTGCTCCCCCGGTGCTCACACAAAACCACCCCTGCCTGCAAGTAGTTCTCACCCTGAAGATGAGGGCCCCGCTTACATCACTACCATGGTGTTCCCCACTGTCAAGGCCTCACCTATAATTGCTGTGTGGCTGACTCAGGATGTTATCCGTGTTGTAGCCATGTCAGTCCCAAGACATCAGAGAGGCGGGCTGGGGGGGTTAATACCTTTCATTGAACCAACTTTTGTTGGTGAGAGAGATGAGAGTGACAGCTTGTGTCTCAGGGTGTTAGTGAGAGTCTCATGATCTGTGATGAATTCAATGAAACCCCAGCTCCTAGACTCCTACGAATATGGGAGAATCTCAGCTGGCCTTTAAAACAAGGGTCAGTTTCTAGCCCTCCTGTGTGGGGAGAAAAGCTGGAGTGGCTCCTAGAGGCTGGGATGGAAACATCAGAAGGTCAATGTACAGAGCCTGACACTTCTAAAATCTCAGGATTTTGAAAGGCCTGATTTGTGATTCCCACTATTGCAAACCCTAAGGGTTCCGATCATGAATCAGCAGGTGTTGCACAAAGTTCCTGCTGGAGTAGAGAGGCAAACAAAAATTTGGTGAATAGTAAATGTGCCCCAAAAAGTTCAAGGGGGGGGGCACTGCACCTACTCACTAATCTGGGTCAGATTCAGCCAATAGTTTCACCTGAACGTGTTTGGATGTTGGTGGTACGGCCTCTGCCATGCTGTCTGAGCTAGATCCAGGAGAGCCTCATTAACAGGTGGTGCCACTCTGGAGGGTGTTGCGGAGTGCAAAACACCAAGCAGTCTGTGGTGCTAGTCTTTGACATCCTCCAGAGGGAGCTGTAGAGCACTCGCTACCCTTCTAATGAGGCCCTGAAATTGTCAGCGATGGAAAGAGGGGGAAGCATGAGTGCCTCATCCAGCAGCGACAACACAATGGGAGTTTCAGGGGTGACTTCCTCATCTGCCCTCCGACATCTCCAACCTCACTCCCTGTGGGGACCGCCTTATCCACTTTCACCAGGCCTGGGAGCGGATCACCGTAGACCAATGGAGCTTGGTGGTCATAACGTCGGGCTATGCCATCCAGTTTTTGCCACTCCCTTTCACACCCATTCCTGGACCCTCTTCTAGGGCAAGAGCTGGACACTCCTCCAGCTAGGAGCGATAGAGCCAGTCCCTTCCCCTCACAGGGGCAGGGGGTTCTACTCAGAATATTTCCTAGGATTGAAAAAGGATGGAGATTGGAGGCCACTCTTAGAGCTAAGAACAAATTTGTGAAACCTAAAAAGACCAGGACGGTGACTCTTAATCATAATTCCTGCTCTACAGGAAGGTGATTGGTTTTCATCCCTTTACCTAGAAAAAACCTCTTTCTATATAGCCAAATACCCATCACACGGGAAATAGCTACGATTCACTGTCGGCAAAGAGTATTTCCAATAACAAGTGATTTTTCTGTTGGTCCATCTTCAGCCCCAAGAGTGCTCTTGAAGGTTCGAGCGCTGGGGTGGCTTACTTGTACCTCAGCGACTGGCTTCTCAAAGGCTGCTCTTTCCAGGCAATGTTGTCATCCAGGCAGAAGACTCTGTTCTGAGAGTTGGGCCTATAGCTGAATGTAAAGAAACCCACATTAGTACCAGTGCAAGGAATACCATTTATAGGGGCATACATGGACTCAGGGACAGCCGGCGTGTACCTTCTTTCAAACAGATTTGTGACTGTCGGGACTGGTAGGGATGATTCAGGGAAGCCCTCAGACATCACTAAGGAGCTGTCTTCAACTCCTTGGCAATATGCTAGCATGCACCTTTGGGACCAATCGACACCGTGCAAGGTTACACCTCTACTTCTTCCAAGGTTGGTTGAGAACTGCCTGTTCTCTGACTAGGGACACCTTGGACAGACAGGTCATGGTCCCCTTGCACGTGAAGAGCTCCCTGAACTGGTGGAAGGAGCAACGCCATGTCTGGCCTGTGTTGTTCACAGATTTTAAGATCAGCGGGGATCTTTGTCATCATCTAGTCTGACCTCCTGCCTTACACAGGCCAGAGCCCTGCCCCACAATAATTCCTGGAGCAGATCTTTTCAAAAAAACATCCAATCTTGATTTTTAAAATGGCCAGTGATGGAGACTCCACCACAACCCTTGGTAAACTGTGTTCCAATTGTTAATTATACTCAACCCTTAACAATTCACACCTCATTTCCTGCCTGAATTTGTCTACCTTCAACTTCCAGCCATTGGATCAGGTTATATCTTTTGCTAGACAGAAGAGCC